TATACACTTTTTTGCAAGTGCGTCACGGAAAGATGACTTTTGAGCTTGCCAGCACCTTAGTACTTCCCTAGAAATAATATACTTGATTACCCCACCATTCGCTTTTAAAATAGGCCCTTATATCTATGGGCCTATGGGTTGAAGTGACTCTCCTTCGGCTCATGCCACCTCCGATGTTGCTTGGAACGCTTGAGGAATTGAGTTCCGCTGTCGAACGGGGGGGGACCCGGCTCTAAGGAAACGGAGAACAGAGAGAGAGAGGGAGACAGGGGAACGGAGTAACCCCGATAGTGAACGGGTCGCTTGCCGATAAGGGCCCCGTGAGCCGAAAAGGACATAGACATGACCTTCAAATGCCAGTCGAGTGCCAGTCACGCACAGTTCAACGCACATTGTGTAGGTGCATGACTGTGCTGCGCGGATGCCTGGCTGGAGTAACCACGACGGACGTCTAGCATGGGGGGCGCTTTGCCCACCGGCCGCCAGTTGATCTGTAAAAAATCCGCTGCCGTAATCCTGCCTCCAGCTGCTTGACCGCACACCCGAGCGAGACAACTCCGGCGAAAGTGGCACAAGCGGCACTACGTTCTCGTCGACGAAACGAATGTAGTAGTGCCGCATTGTGAACTGTAAAGCTACCGTATGCAAGGGACAAACCAGACAGCAATGCACGACTTCAATGGGCTACTATTGGCATCACAGGGCCTGTGTCCCGAAGTTTGCACCTTGGCCTTTTCACAGACTGAGCTTCTCCGTGACGTCCTCAGGGCATGTGCCAATTTTCCCGCGCTGGGGGTCCGCGTTCAGTGCCACTAGTAGAGGCCCCTGACCAACAGTGATCAGGCTCGTTACAGCCTCAGGAGGCTCCAAATGGCGTAAATGGCCGTCTGAATAACATTCAGGAGGCCTGGCCCTGTCCTAGCTTGGCCAATGAACACACCGGTCCGTACGGGCCCATACTCGGTATCTACTGCGGCCCTTCATTTAGCGCCAGGGGGCCTAACCCACAGAGTGGCCCTGTCATTGTCTCAGAATCACTACAGTGACGTTGGAAACTCCACGATAAACATCCCTGAGCTCTGGCTCTATCTTTCTTTGGTTGGTGGGCCCCTGTTTGGCACAGGGTCCTCTGTCCGGTCTGGTACTGGGGCTTCTGCTCAGTAACTCTCGGACTTTCAAGCCGAGAGAAGGAGAGAAGCTCCCTCTTTTTCTTGGAGACCTCCGAGGGACGCAATAGCATGCTCTATGGCTGGCATGCGAGGGCCATGGCTTTGTATTTGTTCAGCTAATTGGACCCACAGCCAGCATGGACCCCTGTCAAGCATCAGTGCTAGACCTCTGGCCCCTCGATTCTTCAAAGGTTCCGGGCAAGGCCAAATGAAGCTACCTGATTAACATTCTGGACTTTGGCTTTGTCTCTGTTCCACAGATGGGGCACCGACTGGTACTGGACGGTGTCCCGTGCCGGAGCCCCCGACCAAAAGAAGGACCGTTTGATGTTCCATACTCGACCGGCAAGTCCTCTCTGCCGGTCCGAAGGGCCGTCCGAGGTGCCCCCAGGTCATCGATATTGGGGGAGGCACTACAGCGCCCCCCCCCCCCCCCCCACCCACCTTGCATGCCTTCCTGGAGACGTTAAGTGGCAGAGCGCCGAGAGAGCGCCCCTGCCTCAGCGGGGCGGGCCGGGCTGGTTTGCAGACTGCAGAGGCTGTCTGCCCGTCTTATGCACGAGACAGACAGGTTGCAGAGAGACTGAGGGTATGCTCCGGCCGCCTCTAAGCGCCCCAGGCACCGTCGTGCCGCGCTGTCTCGGCGCCCCACACGCCTGGGAAGACTCTCCGGAAACTCCGCAGCACCGAGCCTTCGTGCCGTGTTCCTGGGTCGCCATCGCTATTTCTGCGACGAGACAAACTCCCTGTCACGGGGGAGTCAGCCATCCGTGGTGTCTCGAGCCGACGCGCCCCGCAGCCAGCCGTGGCGCCCGTAGCGCGCCGGACGCCGCCGACGCGGTCACCAGCCGGCCGGAAAGCTCTTCCTCGGCACAACGAGCGCGCCTGGGCCTGAGCCTGAGCGTGATCTGGCAGTGAACGCTTGGGCGACATCCTGCCTGCTGTCTCAGCCGGCAGCAGTGCGAGTGATAAGACTGCCTCTCCGACGTTTCGACTGTCCCAAATTTGAATTCGTTTCCAGTCAAACAAATTGCGGAAGCACAATTGGATTTCAACCGGAGGACAGCATGGTTGCAGCCGCACACACACACACACATATATATATATATATATATATATATATATATATATATATATATGCATATGTACAGGCTAGGATGAAACCGACATCTGCCGACGTTATTGCTTTTTGGTGCAAATCGTGATTACTTACACCCTACACGCGTATCTACCACCACATTTTTCATTGAGACACAAGGTGGGAGTGCGATAGGCAAGTCGCGTCGTATCACTGTCATAAGCTTTCCTTAGCTTTCCAGGTAGATCATTATTTTAAAAGAATAACTAAATCGCGCTGACAATGACAAGGTTTCATGCGAATGCAGAGACGAAAGGCTTCCGATAAGGTTGTCAAAGTCAAAGGATCACAAGGTCGAATCGCTACAACTACAACGCGGGGCATCGGGTTGAGTGAATGCTATATGTTATAATCCACTGCGGACGATGGTCTTGCCTCGATGACACAGGAGCCAAAGGCATGCCACATAAGATATAAACTTCTATGCATAACCTTAAATCAAATTCTGTAAG